TACTGCATGCTTAGTTACTGTGATACACTATGCCTTAGATTAGGATAATCTAGTGGTTAGGCGTATTTTCAAAACTAAAACTAAACCAGGAGGTACTACTACAAGGAGTTTGGAGCAAACATCGTGGGCAGCACGGCAGGGGATAGCTTCAAGATGAATCTGCAGCAGCAAAACACATTCACATCACCTATACACTTTCTTTAGTTTAAATAACCCCTAGGATCATTTCTTTAGGCTTTTTGCACAACTTTGCTGTGTAATTATAAGTCCTAACGTTTTAGGATTCCGAGGTTACCATTCAGTACGGTGTAAATCCTCATGTCTTCTAGGCTATTTGCACAGTCTGACGTTGTGCAAACATAAGTCTTAAGTCTTAAATAATTTGCAGGATTGAAATATTAAATAATCATCATTTCAAAGACATAAAGCCGAACAATAGGATAGTTGGGACATCTCTGGGGTTTTCTCCTAGATCTGTGATGTCCTTACTTTTCTTCCATTTGGATTCCTTAAATAATTGTTCCTATTTTGAGTCATTCTCATTTGATTTTCCCATGTCCAATCGTGAAAACCTAAACTTTGAAATCTTGAAAGCGAAACCACCTGATCTTAATCGAGAGTTTTCTTAAGTGATTTCGATCATTTAAGATGTAATTAACTATAGGGGCTTGCCTCTATAGGGAACCAGGAACCCAGATAAAATAAACCCTATCTAATTTTTATGTTAGATAGGGGAACTTGTTGGCCTTTTTATAAAATATTTCGCAGATCAAAACGGATGTCACAAATTGTTTAGTCTAGATGATTGAATCTCTATTACAAGTGATATATTTATTCTTCGGGATAAGTGTATTGCTTGTAGCATTGTATTAAATCATCTAAACTATTTAAAAATGTGAGACTCGTTTGATCTCACTCATTTTAAAAATTAAAATGTTACTTCTTTAAAAAAAAAGGTTATATTTATATTTAAATTATTTTTAAAAGCACAAAATCATCACTCCTTTTCAAACTACGAAGGTTGAACAATAAAACGGCCGACAACACTGCTCAGAGTTTCTCTCGCTTGGAAACCGTGGAAACTGTTTCATCTCCTTCGTCTGTTTGACGACGTCTCCTCCCTCGACTTCGTCCCTAGAAGATAAGTCATCTTATTTTTTTCTTCTTCTTCTCTCCCTCGCCTCGCCTGCGTCTCTCATGCTCACTCTCAATTTCTTCCCTGAGGTTCAAAAGAAATACCCAACTCTTAAAAAGAAATCGTAGTGCCTATGAATCAAACTTTTGTTGTCGATTCAAATTTTTTTCTTTTATTTATTTTATGTAACTTATATTATTATTATTATTATTATTTTGTTATTATAATCTCTCCTCATAAAAATTTTGTCCTCAAAATTTGCATATCATTGATCTGTTTAAAATCATATAATTTATTACAAATTTCTTAAGTTTTATTTTAGAATTTTACGTTAATTATTTTGTTGGCTCTTTCAATAAATTCATTATTTAATCTAAACAATTTCTCTGATATCACTTTTGTCATAACTCAGCCTGATAATTTAGAATTAATCAAATCAAAAACTGTAGTCGAATGATATTAATCTTTCTTTTAAACCATACAATAATCAATCATTACTTTCGATAATAAAAAGAGCCACTAAAATCACAAATATACTAAACAAAAATCTAATTCATCCAAAATATCAATATGTTGTGAGAGTCAAATAACATCACAATCCAACTAACAATAGTACAATATTTCTTAGAATTAAATACCATAAGAACTAGAAGCAAAATAAACAATCTACTACCTAGTAGTAGTCCTCCTGTTTTAAATCAAATCACTCATGTTAGTAATATCAACCTAGTGTTTTATCTAAAAGAAATAATTAATTTAAACAGTAAGTTTACAACTTAGTGAACAATTACAATCTTATTATCCATTAAATTAATATGCAAATGTCTAAAAGAAATATAATTCATTAATTAGTTGAACTATAAATTTTCATTTTAAATTAACATTTACTATTTCAATTCAAGTATTTACCTTTTTAATATTTGTATTTTTAAAAAAAAGTTATATCAAGATTACTGTCATACCTGAAGCTATCCTCAAAAAACCTTACCCGTAAGTACCTCCAAAATTTTTCACTAGAAGGTACATCTTTATCATTTTCATTTTTGTCATGCACGGGTACATCACATCCTCTGTCAGTACCATCTAGAGTAAATCTTAATTGATTTAACTTTTTACTTATCATTTCAATGTGCTTTCATATGTCAATTATTTTTTTCTTATTTGTGAGACATTTTTCAAATACTCAAAATATAAATCATAAATGAAATATTTATTTTTAAAACAATATTTCAAGTTCATTTTTATTAACATGAAATGCAACTTTTAAATAAATCATCAATCTAATACCAATAAGAAAGTAAGTACTCGCCTTTGCCTTAAAGGACCTCTTTATAAGCTTAATCCTCAGAGTACTTCCTTTTACTACCACCTCCTCTTTGACTCTACTTCTTTGAACAATGTCGTATGAAGCTTCTTCTCCCATTTTTCTTCCCTTTCTTCTTCCTCAGTTAGGGCACGGGCTTCCCTTGCATGTAGAGCTGTTCGACAAGTTTTTTCTTCCTTCCTCTTCTTGTTTTGCTCGAAGTTGCAGCCTCTCGAGTCAATTCTCCTATATGTCAAACCTTCTTCCCTCACCTTCTATCGCACGCAAAAGATGATGCATGTAAGCCTTCGGCTTTGGCTCCTATTTGAAACACCACTTCTTCCTATGCACTGCTCGTAGTCTCTCCAACTGGGAAACCACCAAAGTTGCTTTGTCGCTTTCTCCGAATCAACGACGTCTCCTCTCTTGACTTCGTCCACTGCAAGCAAGTCTTCCTCTTGCTTCCATCCTCCTCCTCCTCCTCCCTCACCTCACCAGCATTTCTTGTGCTCGCTCCCAATTTCTTCCCTACAGTTCAAAAGAAATACCAAACTCTTAAAGAGAAACAGTCATGACTATTAATCAATCCTTCGTCAATTCAAAATTTCTTCTTTTATTTATTTTATATTATTATTATTATTGGTTATTACAAACATAGCACTTTCTTGTGTCATATACATGGTCATTTATGTAAGCACCATCTCAGCATACATTACAAAGGCTTGTAAAAAGGCTTAGGATAGAATAATCTCACAAATGTCCTCATCAATCACATGTAAGGCCATTAATCCACCGTTATTTTAAGTAACTACAGATAATATTAGCTTCATTATTATCCGTATCAAAATTCAAAGCCTGTAGACTTCATATTTTAGACCTAGTAGCTTAGTAATAATAAGTACTTGTCTCAATCTATTGTAACCACCAGTGTACAAGGTGTACCAAGTCATCTGAGATTTTAAAATCGATACCATATTATAGTATTAACTAAGCATTCTTAAATATCGTTATAGACTTCTGCATATAATATGCTATTTAAAATACATTCCTAATAGTACTTTTTCTACTTCTTTAGAACTCATGAGTTCTGATTTTCCGGCATTGATGAATGCTGTTGGGTTTAGCTAGTAGTTTAATGGAGTGTTCACGTTAAAATAAAAAAAAATGATGCTACGGTGAGTGACATGATTTGACAAAAGAGGGGATTACCCCGCCAGCCTAAAAAAAAATAAAAAATACATGAATTTACATAAGAGGGGACAATGCTTCCAGCTAAAAATAAGAATAATTTGACACCAGAAAAAAATGAAAAAAATGGTAAAAAAAAAAATCTTGGTCCCTGTAAAGAAACGAGCATGATTTGAGAAAAGGGGACATCATGATCCCATAATAGTGCTTATTTTAATAATGACGTATTTGATTTGTCTCAAGAAAATATAAAAATTCAATGCTTTTAGTATCAGGTAAGTAAATTTCGAATAAAATAATCCATGTTTTAGCATTAGATACCTTCAGTTATTAACCTCAGATGCCTTGCCATTCCTCATCTGCAATTGATCCATATAAATCATTTCCTACTGAATTGTTAAACCAGAAATGTTTTTTGCTCTTTACTAATTTGTATAGTCTAAAAGACCCTTAAGAGGCAATATTTCATAAATTGTATGTTTTAAAAGATTTATCATATTCTAATAGTAATAATCAACAAAGAAAACCTTTTAGTGTTAATAGTTTCTGCCACTAAGAATCTAATGCTTATCTTTGAAAGCAAGCTGTAATCACTGAATGCTGCAATCATAGAGGAAGTCTTCAAAGATAAATTTCAACCATATTGGGGAATTTCTTGCTCATTTCTTCAAAGACATTCAATCATTATATTATCATTTGAGCTTAAATTCTCATATTCACTATTTGAAGTTAAATAAAGTAAGGTGATTGTCCACGTAATTACACAAGTCTGACCCCTTTTATTTCTTCGTTGGCTTAAACAATTGATTGTGATCTGTGAATCTTAATTTTCCTTACATGATTCACACAATAGCATCATTTTACTTGCATTAAAAACCCTCAACCCTAAACTATATTGCCTTTATGCCATCATGAAATTCAGTTGGATCAGCACACAAAATAAAGTCTCTTTTGAAATATTTATACACGGTACTAAATGAGTCGAAAGCACAACTTTCAAATATACTTTTAACATTTATCAACATTTAGATGGCCATCAGATAACAAAGTTGATGGTTCTTTTGCAATCAAATTAAGCTTAAAAAAAATGTGCTCACAAAAGTGCCAGACTACTGAAATAAAGATAGGACCCTTAGAATCATTGCTACCTATACATAACCAAGTGCATATAATTCTTAGTAGCAGAAATTTTCTTATAAGAGAGGCATACCTGCTGCATAGGACCAGGTCCAAACTGTGGGAAACAATGTGGTATTCCTCCACTGCTCTAGGAAGCAATCATATCAGCTAAAGTAATCTTTCATGTGTGCAGAATGATAACGATATTGAATGCATTGAAATTTCAAATTTTAGTAGTAAAAATCAAGGGAACAACAGAATCAGGTGGAGAGCATGAAATGCAAGTAATGGACAACCTAATCGGTTTCTGCCCATTGAAGACTGCATCTGGCCGAACAAAGAGGAGGTCTTTGCCATTCTCAGGCTTCCATGAGGTAATACATGCTCCAAACAAGTATATTTCAGCCTCACTGCGCCAAAAAATAACTTTTTTTTTTCAGCTTTATTGTACCAATAAATATCCCCAAAAAATACATTTAAAAAACATGAAAAACTTGGAGCAGAAAATAAACAATTTCAGACATTATATGGCAATTACTAAAAGCAACCGAAGTTCAGTCGAAGTTCAGCACAAAACCGAACAGCAAGAAAAGGAAAAAAGCACACACGCACACGCACACACACCTTCCATTAGCCGAGCTCAAGCAGACTTTGGGGAGCGAGCCATGGCCTTCAACAACTTTAACTCCAAAAGAGGTATCTTTTTTATGGTTCACAGAAGCGATAACATTTCCGGTTAATCTGCGGATAAACGATGCACAGCAATTGCGTAGATGGTTCTTTGACACCAAGCAAGAGGACAAAGGAAGAAATTTGTCGGCTTCTACCTCCGACAACGAGGAACAGTGTGGTTAGAAGAGGTTCGAACTGGGATGACAGGAAAACCAACTGAGAGGCTCGCCATCATGCTAAGCTTCCGTTTTGCGATGCTGGTTATGCAGTGGTAATCGGGGTCGGAATTTGTTGGACACCACGGCGAGGTAGCAAAGGGAACGATAACTTTCCTATATTAAGGTATTAGGCAGAATTTATTAAATTCAATATATCTGGCTATTGAGATGAACTTGGAGCAACAGCTAAATAAATCCAATGTGCAATCAGATTTACCAAGTAAAAGAGACAGAATATCATATTTACGAACTAAAAGAGACAGATTGAGAAAAATATTTGATCCAAAAATTTGTTGAATTTAATTTTTATTTTTTGGTGTTTGGCTAGATTTAACCCACATCCTATTAAAATTGTGCTATTAAACACCCCTCTAGAGTGAAAAATTATTTCATATGAATTGCGGATGCAGCTCTGCATGCGGATTCTAGTAATATGCTGTCACATATGCTACACCAGACACGCCAACACGCCTCATAAACTCCGCACGGGGAACCGCTCCAATAACATCCACGGTTGCACTTCAATAACCCCCTGCAGAACAATTCCAATAACCGTTTCAATAACACTGCAATAACCCTCTTATAACACCGTGCGGTGGACCGCTCTAATAACCTCCGATGTTGCACTTCAATAATCCTCGTACAACAACTCCAATAAATCTCTTGTATTTTCGAAGGTCAAATTTCTTTTGAGTGGTTCCCCATCATGTGTGTATTTAGTGGGGCCAGACCATACACGTGATCATTGTGATTGGAATCCTGATATAATTTTACATTTGGACTCCTGATGTATATTTTTCCACCTTCGCAAGCTATTGGTTTCATCGATATTTTCGTGTTTTTATAATAAGAGTGGGAGTGCTATTAATTTCAATAACTTAAAAGTTTGATAATATAGAACTTGATGTTTTTTTGATAGTTGTAATTAATAGTTGTAACTTAAAAGTTTGTAACTTAATAGTTGTAATTAATTATTCTATATTATCAAACTTGATGCTTTTTTGATACTTTAATAATAATAATAATAATAATCTTCTAATTTAGTTAATAAAAGTATTAAAAGTTATTAATAATAGAGTGAAATTAAATTGTATTTTTTCTAGAATTGTGTTTCAACACTCACATTTCTACGAAAATGGTAATATAGATGATTGAAAAATTGAACTATATATATTTGAGTTAATTAAAATAATTATAATATTTGTAGAATTAAAATTTGATGAATAAATATATTTTAATAAAATAAATTTGTTATCGGCAATTAGAAATAAAAAATTTATTAATACTAAATTATAGCTACTAGAAAATAAATTAGTAATGAACTCAATGGAACACATTGTACACATAATTTAATAACTAAAAATATTTTTCAATAAAATTTAAAATTGATAAATAATCACTCATTATGCTTATTTATTATCACGTTCTATTTAAGATTTTAAATATTTTATAGTATCCAATTAAATCATTTATTTATTATTTCAAGTGTTCCCGTCTCTAGAAATGTTCATGAGAGTCGCAGACGTGGGGTGACTAGTGACCACCGATTGGGGAGATTGAAACAGGAAAAACTCATTCGTACAGAGTAACATACGAAATAACGAGAGGATGACTTACGAAAATAAGAGATCAGAAAAACCTAGACAAATATATATATAAAATAAATAATAAAATAAGTTATATTTAACTATGATGCGTGTCAAAAAATTCGCGGCGATAGAGTACTGAATTATCGTCTTAGCGTTGCACGAGGATTCAACATACACAGATAACAGAAAAGAAGTAAGCAGGATAATACACCTCGACTTTTTACGTAGAAAACCCTTGAAAATGGGAAAAACTACGGTGCCTAGCCCAGTTGAAATAGTCCACTGTGAATGATGAGTATACAAGTACATTCTTCCCCTGAATTAGGGAAATGAAATTACAGTCGTATAACTATAATTTGTTTGTTGTTTTTTGTGACAACGGATTGCAATGGTCATTGTTGATTGTTGTGGAGATAGTAGTTCATCGTGAGTGTTGTAGATGATTGTTCCAAAAGTGTTGATTGGCCAGAGAATCCATAGTAAGCAGTTACGGGAACTGTGAATCACGTAGATTGTAGTTGTCAAGTATTAATGACATCCGTAGACCGCGAGGGTCGGAATCAAGAGCTGCATGAACTGATGACCATGTAGGTCGTTGGGGCGAATATTGATAACGTTTGTAGGCCGCTGGTGCTAGATTCAAGAATTGTATGAGATGATGATCACGTAGGCCGTTATGGCGAGTATTGATGACATTCATAGGTCGTTGGGGACAAAATTGGGAACTGCATGAGCTATTGACCGCGTAGGTTGTTAGCACATTAATCGTAGTGGTGAGCTCTTGTCCTACAAACATGAGAGGTTATTAGATTTTCCAAGTTACAACGTTAACCGACGACATCTGGTCGGCGGTGGTTGACGATGATCGACGAGTGTTGATGACGGCTGGCGGTCGTCGACGATGGTTGGGATGGTGTTTCAGCTCCTTCTCAGAGCTTCCAGTTCTCTCTGAAGCCTCCAGTCCCCCCTCCCCCCTTCCATGTGAGGAGTGGGCTCTATTTATAGTATTCTGAATGTCATTAATGCAATAATATAAAACATTTTGATCGGAAGGTCCAGAGACCTTCCTTCGGTCATACAACGTTTAATGAACATTTGAGTGTTTTAACAAAGTTGGAAATGCGCAATCTTGAGCTCGTTGGACTCATCATTTTGGATTCGTTTTGCTGTTTGATCTTCCAAATGTGTCCATAAATTTTTCAAAAATGATTTAATGACTTGATTCAAGCTTGATTTGACTCAAATTGAACTAACTTTGATATCGTTAAAATTGTCTCATTGAGCCGGTCAGTTTGACCATAAGTTTGCTGGACCATAAGGAAATCAGAGCTCTGGATGAGTTTTTATCAAGGTTTGAACATCCCTTGCTCAAAACATTCTCCCGAGATTTGTGTCATGCTTTGAGATTCGTGATGGATAATGAAAATTTATTGGTGACGTATCAAATTACATTTTAATTAAATAGTGTATATTGAATTAATGTTAAGTGGTTAAAAAGTTATTTATTGAACGATAAATAGTTTTTTTCACGAGCAAAAATAAATGTATTAAATTATGATCAACTTTCATTCATTTAGCATTCAAGTTCTTAAGAACATTTTATTTTATTTTTAATTACTAACTTAAATGAGTATTAATTGAGCCAAAACTAAACTAAACATTAACGGAATACATTAGTTCACCTACAATATTAAATTTTAATGATGATAAAATAGCATAACACTATTTAAGTCAATATGATAAATTATACATGTCTTAATAGTATTATATAATCTTTGGTTTTGCTCAATAACCTGGTAAACTAATTGCCAAGGCCTGCGGTTTTGGCATGACAGAAATAAGTGACAACATTAACTTGAACCATTACAAGAATCCCTATCGAAAACGATAAAGAGGAGTACAAATTCATTGCCCCAACATAGTCTTTTAGGCAACTTATTCACACAGAAGCTTCTCCTTTCAAAGCCTCAATCAAATCTGAAGAGAACAAAACAATATTTAAAAATAAAAAAACGGGGCAGCGCGCGACTTTGTTGAAGAAGATTAGCAGGGCGGTAGATCTCTAGGAGGCGGCAAGATAGATTCTTCCGGACCGTTCCCATTCTCTACCACAAAAGCCATCTTCAGTCCCCACATTGTGTGAAGCTCCAGATGGCAATGCATGAACCAAACCCCTGCAACATTAATTAATCACTCAATCAATCAACATATATATATAAATACAAGTTTATAACTTTATAGAGTGCCTCGCATGTCCAACTATTAATCACCTGGATTATCAGCTCTGAACCTTATGGCCGTCCACCCACCCGTTGGTACTCCAACTGTATTTCTCTCCGGCGGATCCACCAAGTTAAACTTCGCCGGATCCTTCGCATGGTCGAAATTTCCAGTTCCCCTTCCCACGACAAAGAAATTGTAGCCATGAAGATGAAAAGGATGGGACTCAATAGTCAAAAGGCTTGTGTCCTGAAGCACCAGCTCAACGGTAGAGTTGAACGCCACCCTGCTCAGTCTCGTGCCCTGCAACGTCCCAAGGTTCGCATTCAGCGGTGTGCCGGTGTAATTAAACACCGTCGGTGGCCTATCCGGAAAATCCAGCCGGAAAACCCCACTCACATTGAAGTAATGGGCCTGAAGCAACCCCACCTTCGGCATCAAAAAACTAATATTGTTCAGCGACGCCGCGAGACGCGTCCCGTTCAGGCAACTCGGGCACGGGTTGGTGCCGAGCCCGATGGTGTAGAATAGATGGCGGTCAACGGCGAGAGGCACTTTTCCTGAATTCAAGCTGCGCAGCTTGGCATTGTATGCTTCGGCGAATTCGGAGTCATTGGGTTCGGGCAGAACAGGGAGGAGCGGCAGGACGGTCGTTGGAATACCTTTGTATTGTAGAATAGCGGTGGCGGTTCTGTTATCTACGGGGATAGGGGCGTCGTTAAAGGGGCGGGTGGCCATGAAGTAGCGGCTGGGGGTGCCGTCTGCGTGGAGGAGGACGTTGGTGGTTTGGCCAGGAGCGATGAGGAGGGAGGCTGTGGTGAATGGTTTGATGTAGACGGCGTCAATTTCGACTACGGTCATGTTATGGCCGGCGATAGAGAAGAAGAGCTCGTCATTGAGTGCGGCGTTGATGATGCGGAGTAAGTAGGTTTTTCTCCATTGGACTTCGATGGCGTAGGTGTCTGATGAGGTTGAGTGAATTTTTGTTAGAGATTAGCGGAGAACATGATTGTATTTTAGCGCAGATGAGTGGATGAAGATTACGTTTGTCGGAACAAGGGAATAGAGGGCCTGGCTTGCCGTTGATAGTGTGGGCGTCCGACATGGTGGGAGGCAGCCCGAGTTTGTTGCCCTGTTTGACAATCTCCTCTACATCAGAGTTCCACCATTCCCCTGTATTCAAGCTTCCAACGGTCAAATTTCTTTTGAGCGGTACCTTTTTTTTTTAACTCAGCCATACGCACACTTTCAGGCAAAGGCGAACTCAGACTTCTATAAAAGGATTCAAAACTCGCACCACTGAAGTAAGATGGGCTATAGCTTTGAGCAATATTTTACTAGAAAATATAATAATTTTGATATTTATGTGAAATTTATTTTGTTAGCAATACTGTACTCAAGTTCCATCTAGAACAAAAAAATTATTCATTGGATGATGATCTGGATGAGCCGCCGTGTGATCCGACGATGTGACTCCATCCGGACAGTCGTACAGACATACGATTAGCTGCACATAATATTTTTTTCACCAAAACAAAGAGTGTCACATCCATATGTAATTTATGAGAATTTGTCCTTCTCAGTCCACACATTATTTATTATGGTATTTTTTAAATTATGACACTGACAAGCTGAACAGCAAATCAAATTATTCACATAAAAGAAAATTAGAACACAATGACATATCAAAATTTGAATAATATATTTGATTTATTCATTATTCATTTATAATTTTAAGAAAGTACAAATACTTGTAAGTATTTTAAAAAAATATTTGCAGTAAAAATTGAAATAATTATACTAACAACTGGTTTTACTTAAATTAAAAAAAAATGAAGTTGCTTTCTAAAATTTTAAGATCTATAAAATTTTGTAAGACTGCTCACCAAATTCAAGGTCATAGCAATTACAAAAATAATTTTAAAAAATGTTCTACCCATTTGCGCACGTGTAGCAAATCATAACAAAACCCAACTCACCACGCAGCAAAGACTGCTCACCAAATTCAAGGTCTATTACTTCCACACCAAATCCTCGTATGAAATCAAAATCATTATTTGCGAAGATATAATTTGTACCAATAAGAAATACTCACAACGTACACTTGCACGTACCTAGGATTATTTCAGCTTCTTCATCTGGCTGGGGGAAGGGGAAGGGAACACCCACCTTGGGCATGATGACAAAGGCACCGTAGACAGTAGCCCTGAGCCACAAAATATGAGCATGCCACCATAATGTACCCTGCTGTCCTGTGATATTGAAGTCATAGGCGTACGCGCTGCCGCTCTGGATTGGACACTGTGTGATGTATGCCGGTCCATCCGCCCACCCATTTCTGAATTGCTTCAGCCCATGCCTACATCAATTAATCAATACTGTAAATATCATAGCTACTAGCTGGTTAATTTGTAGCCCGCTGCAAAAAATACGTACCAGTGGATGGACATGTTGTATTGTGCGTGGTTAGTGACGTTGATGATCAGACGATCACCTTCTCGAGCGTATATGGTTGGGCCTGGGTACCTCCCGTTCACCGTCACGATTGGCTTTGCATGGCACAGTCTACTGACGTTCTTCACCACAATCTGTTCATAAGAAAGTTAAAAAAAAAATCTTTAGCTAGATTTTAATGCAAGATATTGTAACTAGTTTTTTACCAACTTCTTCGCACCAGTTTTGGAATTTGGTACCGGTGATACTTTTCTCACAAGTGTTGAGGGCTGTGTTGACATGTATACTGTAAGCGGATTCATCATACATAGCTGTCTTACTCTCTCTCTTTCGTTATTTCATACATACACCACATATAGAGATATATGTGGTATCCGATCCTGACCATAGATCATCATACATATTTCTCTCTCTCATGTTATATAATTTTGAAAGTTCCTTAAACCTCTTGGTCTTCTGACAGTTCTACAGATATAAATATATAATAGTTCTTTATTTGATAAATGAAAGCTCGGTATGACTATTTTAATCTATCATTTGTGGGGAAGGGCGGAAAGTAAAAGAATACGAAATTTCAATCAGACAATTGGACAATTGGATTCCATTCACGAAGAATTGTTCAGCCAATCAATATCATAAGATGATATATAGCTCCATCTTAATAATCAACACGGTGATGCTAAATGAAATTATATGTATAAAAAAGTTGGTTGTTTTCCAATTCGAGGGGAAATATCATGTATCATAAGTTAAATTTATCAAAGTACATCAACTCGAGCCGAACTTTTTTCCCAAGAAAATTAAGTAGCGTCACACAGCATTGTTTAAGCAGTTCATGCATGCCAAATGTATAGCTACTCACATCAAACTGGTATCTCTTCAGAGCAGCTTCAGCAGTGAAGGGAAATGACAAAAGCAATCCAAGGAAGCAGGTGAGGAAGAGTCCAAATGGTAATTCATGGCGCCTCAGTCGACGGTCTGGTGAAGCCATGGCTTGACCAATTTGAAGTCTATATGATTAGCCACACAATTAATTGGCTATATAGCTCCGAGATGGATGCTGAAAGCCTAGGACTTGTTTATATAGTATTGAAGTTTACTGGCTTTGGTATTCCTTACAGATAGAGAATGTAATTAGTTTCTGACTTAAGATTGAGGGGATTGTAGGTGGAGATGAATGCTTTGAAGCGACTGGCGATGGAGACCATCAGGATGTGAAACAGCGCAGAATTTGTTAATATATAATGGCTGTAGTAGATTGATGATGTTTAGGACTTCATTATTGTAGGAGAAGAGTTAATAAATGGAGTTGACAGAAGCTTTATCGTTAAGCCTAAGCAATCGCTGCTCGGTTTTGGCCGGAAAACGTTGTTTTCATCTGCGGCTTTTTTATTTATCTTTAGTGTCATTTTCTGTAAATATTTATTTGATTTATCATTTTCTTATAACTTTTTTTAAAAATTTACATTTTTAAACTTCAATAAAACTGATCACTTGTAATGTAATCTCCTTAGTTAGAATTGAGGTCCGGCCTAATCATCCATGAAGAATCATGTATTTAATATTCTGATTTAAATTTTAGTTATTAAGTTTATTTTAAGATGAATGAAATATATGATTAATTCTCACCAATTTTTTCTTTTAAAAAAAAAAAAAACTGCACTTAATATATTCTTATGGTAGCTTTGCAAGCCAATTTGATCATATATTTTTTAACAAGCATTTTACAAGCATGTATCAGTGGCATTAGTTGATTTTTTCTCAGCGAAGGAAAGCAAATATTCAGGAAAATATGCTGAGAAACATTCAAAATTTAGAGGTTGTTGGGCTGAATCATATGCATGGGTTAAATATAGATTATATAAATGTGTGTAGGGGTGTAAACGAGCCGAACACGAGCGAGTCACGTTTATATTTCGAGCTCAAAAAATGTGTTCGTGTTCGGCTCGTTTGCTTAACGAGCAGAACACGAGCTGTTCATGAACAAAGAGTCCTTTTAACAACCTTAATCATGTAGCCATAAGACATAAGACAATAAGGGTTTGAGCAAGATTTCAAAATTATTATTTATATTAAAACATCATTTGAATCTAATTTAATAATTTTTATTCTATTTTCTTAATCAATATTTTAATTAATTATAAATCTTTGTAGCCTCGTAGTCAATTAGATTTTTTAAAATACTACTTAATATATATATATAGTGTGTGTGTATTTATATATATAAACTTGATGAGTAGTATTTCGAGCCAAAATGAGCCGACACAAACGAACACATCTTTGTTCGTGTTCGGCTCGTTAACTTATCGAACGAAATTAACGAGCCGAGCACAAGCTTCTTAACGAGCCGAACACGATCGAACACGATCTGTTCGTGAACAACGAGCCGTGTTGACGGCCCTAGTTGTGTGATTAAGAAAATATGATGATGAGAATAACGTACGTTTTGGAGTTGTATCAGGTTTCACACACAGTTACTATTGACATCAAAACAAATTGAGATAACTTTTTTTAAATTAAAAATCCAAAATGAAAAAGAAAAATTTGAGAGGGCCTTATCCTTATCTGATTAAAATCATTCCACAAATGTGTGTGAAGTGTTATAAAGAGTACCTTTTCCTTATAATTAGAAAATATATCAACACAGTGCAATAATCTTAAGCCATGGGAGATGTCTTCAACGGTTATATTGAGAAGAGTTTTTAGATGTTAGAGCTGACATTTGGTGAATGCGTATCAAATTAATAATATTTGATATTCTACATTAAAATTTGGGTGATACCGATTAGCTAACAGTCCAACCTCTTGATAGAAGAAGAGACATGCAATCAATAGAAATTGAGTGTCACACATACAAATGCCAAACAATGACGATTGATAAATTACAATAATGATTGATAGAAATGCCAAAATTTAAATAACAGCAGCTATACAACATCATCTTTCTTCTAATAAGAGTGGGGGCCAAACGACTAACTGATAAGCATCAAGTGTTGAACATTGGTAAAAAAAATTAGTCGATAAATAATAATGAATGTCAGATGTCAAAAGACACTGTGGTTGAAGTAATCACTCCTTTCATATACACGTTCACATGGTGACCAGCATGATAAGTGTTGGTCGTCAATATTGTTCGGCAAATGTTAGATGCTAATTATCAAAAACACATCGAGCAACTAAAAATATAAACCATCAGAATTCAAATAATGGTGAGCAATTAATAAGATTTTTATACTGATATTTGATAAAATGTGATGCCTGGAAAGATAAACATTTAATTTTAGAGATTAAATGATATCAATTGTTGTTTAGTGTCATGTGATAATCAATTGTGAATAACAAAAGTTTTATGGTGATGGACAATCGGCTTTATCATCCTTTTGAAATGTGAAAAATAAACAAGCAATGAGACATGCATTATACATCAGTAGTTGATAACATCAGGCATCAATCATCAATCATTATCAAGTGTTAGTGTTAATCAATGAGATAATTAAAATTTAGGTGATGTGGGAAATCAGCTCGCCATCCATTTGATATGAGGTGAGATCAAGAGCAAAAGAAGTTGGTAACAAATTTTACTAGCTTATGAACATTGGTTAATGATCATTGACGAGGAAAGAGTGCTGAAGACAAATGTCATCATTTTCTCATTCATAATAAGGATAAGGATTGACATTACAAGTTGGCAAGTTAATATGATTTCATAAATAATGCACAAAGTAAACAATAAGTATCTAATTGTGCAGTAAATGAGTATGACTTATAATTGACTACAATTTAAAAACTCCAAACGAATTTCATACTGAGGGTTTTAATGGCTCAAGGATTAGTTTTTTGTATGACTTAATAACACTAAAAGAAAAGCACTATAACAGATGGTTAAAAATTTCATCAGTAAAAATGTTCTATTTTATGACGGCTTATGTGTTGAGTTATTTCCGACGCATAACAACAAGATATACGTGCTTAAAAGCAATCGAATATTTTCTGATGGTTTTTATTATAACCGACACATTACACCATCGATTATGAACACATAATAACCGATGGCCATATATCTTCGGTTATTTACGAACCCATCATTTGGCAGGGCTTTAACCGTAAAGCTTTTTTTAATAATGGACGGATAATTTCATCTGTATTAATGTTAATAACCGACAGATTTGAAGCCATTTGTAAGCCGTCAAAAAAGGATCATATATGCCGTCGAAATTTGTTATGCCCTCGAACTTGCGCTAATCCCTTGATCTCTCTCGGTCTCTCCTTCTCCCTCGTGCCCTAACCCTCCCCTCTCCTCTCCCGACGACTTTAATGCCCTGACGACCGTAGCTCTGACAACCTTAGCTCCGGTGATTCAACTGCTTCGACACTCAAAGTTATGGTAGGATGTTGTTACTGAACATTTACATGAGGATGTACCTTGGATCGTGCTTTTTGCTGATGATATCCTTCTTTTAGATATATCTAATGTGCGAACATCTTAGATATCTCGGGTCTAGTGTTCTAGGTGATGGTCAGAAGAGGGTGTTAATGGTAGAATTCAATTTGGTTGGTTGAAGGGAGGAATGCTTCAGGTGTGATAAAAAAAGTACTGCTTAGACTGAAAGAAAAATTTTATAAGATGGTGGTGAGACCTGCAATGCTCTATGACGCAGAATGTTGGCCTTTAAAAGAGAAGCATAAAATTAAGTTAAGTGTTTCCAAGATGAGAATGTTTAGGTGGATTAGTGGCTTTACACTTAGAGATAAATGCAAAATGAATATATCTGTGAAAGGGTTAGTGTAGCTCCTGTGGTGGACAAAATTAGAGAGAGTTGTCTTAGATGGTTTGATCTCATTAAATGTTGGCCATCTGATGATTCGGCTAGGTAAGTAGATATTTTAGATTTGATTTATGTTAAGAAAGGTAGAGGTAGAGCTAGAAAGGCTTGGGCATATTGTATAAAAAATGATCTTAATTTATTTGAATTAAATGAAAATATGAAACTCAGTAAGACGCAAAGAAGGAAAAGGATTCATGTAGCCGACCCCACTTAGTGGGATAAAGGTTTTTTGTTTTAGGTGGTGAGATCTGCAATGCCCTTTGGCACATAATTTTTGGCCTTTAAAAGAGAAGAATAAAATAAAATTAAGTGATGCACATATGAGAATGCTTAGGTAGATGAGTGGCTTTACACTTAGAGACAAAATGTGATAAATGTGTATATATGTGGTAGGGTTGGTGTAGCTCTTGCGGCGAACAAAATTAGAGAGGCTAGTTTTTAGATAGTTTGGTCACATTAAATGCCAACCATCTGATGAACCGGTTAGGAGAGTAGATATTTTAGATTCAAATTATGTTAAAAAAGGAAGAGTTAGACCACCTACAAAGACTTGGGCATATTGTATAAAAAATGGTCTTAATTTATTAAAGTTGAATGAAAATATGAGTCTTAATAGACCCGATGGAGAAAAAGGATTCATGTAGCCGACCTCAATTAGTGGGATATAAATGTTTGTTGTTATTGTTGTTAGTAGAGAAGTTGAAGCTTGTAAGATTTAGTAAATCCAATGAAAGTCACTAAACACTTTCTCCAGATTTACTAGGATTTACTTACATACATACCAACCCATTTTTAAGATTTAACCCCTTCAAGATTTCATAAATTCGGTTTGTAGGATTTACATGGTTTACTCAATCCTATTCAAACAACCAAAAATCTTCTAACGAAAGAGTTTAATTAGGAGTTGATTAGTACAAGATTTATGTAGGATTCAAGATAAATCCTTTCAAACGACAAAAAATGCCTTTGTAAATCCTACAGGTTCTTAAATCTCATTTTTGCTCCATTTTGCCTTAAATCTGGGATTTAACAAAAGAAGTGGGAAGAAGGATTTACGAGATTAAGAGAGGTTGAAGCTTGTGGGATAAATCCGTTAAAACCAACTGATAAGTTGGTTTAGTAAATCTGCGTTTAATAAACAAATAACGACAATCGCTCAAAGATTAATTTTGGAATGAACTTCTATCAAACTGACCTCTGAGCAGATCAAAATCAAATCATTTAACATCAAATTGATGTAAGTATGCTCAAGATCGTTAAATCAATTAAGATGTCTCTTTCTAATATTGTGGGCAACTGTAGCTACTCCAACCCCATCACGGGCATATTTTTTTTTGTATTTTGTTTCTAGTTGTAAAGCCAATCATAGACTAAGCATTCTTCACCCCCACAACCCCTTATGCAATTGGTTGCACACCTAGAAATCTTTTCTTAAAAGAAAATATTTATATGATGTAAAGATAATTCCTTATTTCTTCCTTTGTGAAGTTTAATTTCCATTGTCATAATGAAAATTCACTTCGAAATCTAATTTGTCAGTTCCAATAACAAAATTCACATCAAAATCTAATTTTCATTACCACAATTCTCATTTTAACAGTGCAAAATTAGATTTCAAGGTGAATTTCTATTTTGAAACTGACAACTTAGATTTCAAAGAAAATTTCCATTACAGTGATGGAAATTAGACTTCACACTGAAAAATGTAGTGAAAACTCTTACTCATGAAATATTTTCTTTAAGAACATATTTTTAGGTGTGCATTCAATAGTGTATAAAGTTTGTTGGGACGAGAATGCTTAAATATATGATTGGCTTTCCACTTGGAAAATAAAATGCGAAAGAAAAAAAAATATGTATCGGGTTTGGTTTAACTATGATGACAAAAAATATTAGATCCGAAAAATCGATAGAATTTAAAACAGATTAAAGAACTTTGACAGCCCTAACAACCTCAATAAGTTGTTAGAGTGCTGACTTCGAGCTTAATTTCTTTCAGCTCGAAAGAAATTTGATCCAAAATTTCTTGCTCAAACTTGGATTGTTGCTACTCATCCGAGCCAAAAGTAAAATCATTGAATTTTCGAATGATTCCCGTTGTTCGAGATACCTAAAATGTCAATTTCTTTTAAAATGTGTTGATTATTGTTAGATTTGATCATCTTTTTTTACAACTCCGCTAGTATATTTACTACAATAATTAAAAATAATTTATTCAATTGAATGCACTATATAATGTGTTGATTCTTCTTAGATTTGGAGGTACACATAGATATTTATACATCAAGATCGTGGATGTACAACAAACTTTATTTGGATAGAAAAAGGATCACGTAGGAGTTTTTGAACGATGTCAAGGCATTTGTGGCTGCAGCATCACAACTTTCATCTTACATTTTTAATGGTAAATTTTGATGTCCATGCTCAAAACAAAGGAATCGAGCACATTTAACATCTAGCGAAGTGAGATATGATTTACATCGTCGAGGGTTTCAACCTAATTATTGAATTTGAACTTCGCATGGGGAGGTTGACCCTGCAACATTCAACTCAGTTCCTTCGATGAGCTAGTTTTGTGTTATAGGCAATTTAAGTTGGTTTTTATTGATATGAATTTATGCTCTCATAATGACTTAAATAAATTGGCTATCAAGAATATGGATGTGTAGTGAGGGTATCATATGTACCACAAATTATGATTTATGGATCTTCACAACAAAATTCTAAAAAAAAAACCTGCCTAGGTTAGAAAAACAACTTGGTTATTATTTTATTTATTTTATGTAGCATTTGAGGGAATTTAATTATAAATATATGCATATCGTATATATTAAATCTTAAATTTAGGATCTTTAAATGAATATCTAAGTTTGATAAGGTGACTCTCGAGCTATGTTCCACAGATACAGACACAGGGACACAAGACATTTATATTATTAAATGAAAATCTACGTTTGATAAGGTGACTCTCGAGCTATGTTCCACAGATACAGACACAGGGACACAAGACATTTATATTATTAAATGAAAATCTACGTTTGATAAGGTGACTCTCGAGCTATGTTCCACAGATACAGACACAGGGACACAAGACATTTATATTATTAAATGAAAATCTACGTTTGATAAGGTGACTCTCGAGCTATGTTCCACAGATACAGACACAGGGACACAAGACATTTATATTATTAAAAATGTAGGACATGAACATGCATTAAACATGTCATTATATTATATTATAATATAAAAAAATATTAAAAATAATATAATAAAATTTAATAGCATTATTTTTCAAAAATTTTGATGTATATAACGGAAAATATCACTAAATGGTCAAACTCGTCTATTGTAAAAGAAAGAAGATGAAAAAATGGAACATTTTAATTTAACCTTTAAATATAAAATAAACTTTTAAAATTTTAAATTTACTAATTTAACAGACGCTTATCCCACAAGTATTTATCTGGGACATGTCACATGTCAGGAGAGTGTGAGTATAGAACTCATTAATTAAATGTCTTCGTGCATGTCATTGGCTTTTTTTTTACCCTCGCTACCACTGTTTCATTCAAACAAGAATTCGTCGCCGCAGACAAACTGCCAAAACACCAATCCCTTCTCCACGTGTCACCAAGCTCCACACATGGCAGGGCCACCGTTTCCCAGCATTACGTGCACTCCCCCTTTCCTTGTTCTCCTATAACCCACTCTCCCTACCGCCATAAACAAACAAACCCAATTCAGAACACAGGCACATACGGAACCGAAAATGCAATAGCGATGACAATAATGGCAGCATCAAGAACAAAAACGTTGTGTTTCACCGGCCACCAAATCGGTCTTCTCATTGTGCTGGCCATCCTTGCTTCGCCGGCGAGCGGGAAGATAAGCGACGCAGCAGAGAATTTTGAAGCGAAGGGATCGGAAGGGCCGCAAGACGCCGGAAAGGCGTCAGAGTCATGGGCCGATTGGGCTTATGGCAAGCTGCAAAAGTAGTGGAAGTCTGGTTTTTGTGTTTTGATCTTAGGAGAATAATTTTAGCATGAATCTAAATTTGTTTTGCATGTTTGTGATAGGGGATTGGGGTGGCCGCATGAGAACACGGGGATGGCGGCAAAGAATGTTCAGGACAAGGCTTTCCACGCAAAGGACAAAACAACGAACAAGGCTGGCGATGCCAAGCAACAAATCAAGTCTACGGCCGGAGAAGCCCAAGAAACACTCCACAGCAGAGCAGACGACGCCTACGCCGGCACTAAGAAGACGTCCAAACGAGCAGGCGATGCGGCTGACAAGGCTTACGATGAAGCCAAGCAGAAGGCAAGTGAAGCCTATGAATCTGCAAAGGAGTCGATGAGCACTGGCGCGAAGCGTGCTTACGAGGCTGCGAAAGAGAAGGTGTCGCAAGCTACAGGGGATTTGGGCGCTGCAATGACGCCAGATGAACTTTGAAGAGGACATTGATTTTGATTACTTAGATCGTGTAAGCTTCCATCTTATCTAATTGGAAAGGCTTGCGAAGACCTTATGGTAGCTTGTTTCTTTTGCTGATTTTTTTTAATCTTGGTTGTTGATTTTGTTTTGTTCTCGTTTTAGCATTTCTACTTCATTATTTAATAGTAGTACTGAACTTTCTTACATATTACGTTGAAAGGTTTAATGGACAACATTTAAAATTATGATGTAAAACTGTATTTAAACAAGATTTTCCAAATATACATAGGGATGCATATTAATAATATGAAGATATATTTAGTCATATTCAAATATCAAGCATTCAAAGATGTGAATGATATAAAGCAGATGAGGATAAGAATTTCCATTCTTATAATTTAGTAATAATATAAATTAACTGCATAACTCATGTATAAAATCCATAATCTATGTGTGATAGGTACACATACAAATATCTTTTATTTGCATGGCCACCAGAACACAAAGCTTATTTCTTTATATTTGACCAGACACAATCAATAGAGCTTCTAATAATCACTATGCATGTGGACATGTTTCTTTGTGATAACTTGATTATCCTTTTCATTTGTCCACCAGTGTTGATAAGCAAAAATGCAAAGAAGGTTGGAAAACCAATTTAGTATTAATGTGCAACAGATCAGCAAAATAAATCCTAAAAATGAGAAATTTACACAACATTAAGTTAACCGATGTTTGGAAGCTTTTGGGATGTATTGCGAACCATTTTTTAATTGTGAGACATTCCTTGGTGTTTTGCTTGATTAAATTTTAAATCACTAAATAAATAATAATTTTAAACACTTTGCTTCAATAAAACAATCATTCTCTTACGATTAAAAAAAAGCTTTGTTGAATACCCCAATCCATCGGTGGTGGCCATTTTCTAAGTTACATTTGTTTCGAGTGCATACATCGGACTTTTTTACTTTCTAGTTTATTCACACCTAAAATCACCGAGTAAATACCTAGAATATGAACAGAAGGAAACAATAAATTATCTAGATATCATTTTTGTTATTATGAATTGCTAGGGCATGACCCATCCCCATCTCCTGAATCGTACATCATGCTGGGGCCCCTTTGCGTTGCTACACCTAGGGGTGTAAACGAACCGAACACGAACGAACAAAGCTTGTGTTCGTGTTCAGTTCGTTTAAAATTTAGTTTGTTTGAAATAAGCTCGTGTTTGTTTCTTAACGAACGAGCCGAACACGAACCGAACACGAGCTGTTCGCGAACGACGAGCCAATTTGACATCCCTAATATTAATATATAAAAATAATATTATATATTAATTATATAACTTATATTATATAAATATACAATATCTATATTAGTATATTACTACTATAGTATATTAATATATTATTATTATTATTTTATTATATATTATAATTTATAAAATTTAATGTTTTAAAATATAATAAATTTTTTATATATAATTATTTTATATTATTTTATATTTCAAACATTAACGATTCGAACACGAACGAACGCATCACTGTTCGTGTTTGGTTCGTTTAACTAACCGAACGAAAAAAATTTGTTCGCGTTTGTCTCGTTTACTTATCGAACGAATCGAACACGAACTCATTGACGAACCGAACACGAACTGTTCGCGAACAACGAGCTTTTTTGACAGCCCTAGCTACACCATTGCAGGTATGTTCACTACATTATGACTTTGACTTCGTTCGATCCCTCTTCAAGTTCTTCGTTGGATTTACAACAACACTCAAGATTAGTATTTTTTGCAATATGGTTCCTACTCCTCTTCCATTGACATGTTGTTACTAGATCTATCAATGCATATTTTGTCTATTGAAATCGGCATTCTAATATGATCCGATGTCAAAATAGACACATTTTGTTACAAAAATTAGGCAAACATAAATTTTATTTCCCAAATACCAAATTAAATCAACATAACAATAATAATTCTCACTATTACAAAAGATAAGCACACCTACAATTCGAGAGAGGTATGCAATTTCGCCCAATTCCTACAATTTGAGAGGAAAGAAGTCTCTCTCAAACCCTAAACCTAAGAACAAGACTTAATTTCATGCATAAACCTAACTCTAAACATAATAAGTTTATTTATACCTAACAACAATAATAATAAATGACAAAATTATCCTTAGGCTAGGCACATACATAATAATACTCCACCCTTCACACATTGTCCTCAAGGTGAGAAAAAGTGAGTGTTCTTCCTCCACCATAGTTGTCTCTATTTCTTAATCCTATACCTCCCCGTCACACAGTATGAGAACTTGTAATTTTAAATCCTTACAATGGTGTACTAGGTTAAACTTCTCTCATATCGAAAATATAACCATTTGGCTCGCTTCTCTTGCATCTTTGTTTCTAGAAAGTGCTTGAGTGTTGATCTTGTTTGTGACCCATTATTCATGTTTCGTGCAACTTCCCTCTAGATTCCAATGTTTAATCTTTTGGTATTGTCGTGATTGTAGCAGTTTTGTACGACGCTCCATCTGTGCTACTCCTGTTGGCCTTCTCCATCTAGCTCATGTCCTCCACCATCTGGGCTACTTTCCTCATCTCCCTCAATCCCCACGATCTCAATAGTCGGAGTGCTACTCATATGTCAGGCTTTAGGCCCTTCATGAAATTCTCCTCCAATCCAGCTTAAGAAATCTCCCTCAGCTGTCGCGTCAATAGTTCTAATATCTCCCTATATTTCATGATAGACCGCTCTTGATTCAAGGCATAGATTTGTTTGTGTGAGTCTCTTTCCCGAATGGCTAGGAAATGTTCCATCAAACAATTCTTAAATTCTTCCCATGAACGAATCGGGTATTTAGCCAACCTCAACTGAAACCATGTTAAGAGCTTTTCACTTCACCCCATTCACCGTAAAGTACCGCTCTATCAGATACACTCACCCGTGAGTGTCTTACCTCTCAAAGATCGACATCTTCAACTTCTTAACCGAAGCATCACCAACCCAGCTTCATTTCCCTCTGATGTTTCTGCCATATATCTAGGGTGAAACTATTTTCTTCGAGCGTAGTCATGCCCCATTCTGGTTTTTCCTCTTCCTTCTTCATGCTCCTTCCAACCCCTTTGTATAACCCCTCCTCCATATGTAAGCACAACCCCTTCCTTCAGAACCCCCATCAAAATCTTAGAGGAAGTTCGTGACGGAGGATGTTTTTCTTTTCATGTTTCTCACATTCAATCTCTTTCTCTTTCAATGTGGCCACAAATTCTTTGGTTAACCTTTGGTTAGGATTTACAAATTAAGCCGTCGGCAGGGTCTTGGATTGCATCTCAATGAGTCTCTTCATTATCTCCTCAAGTCTCTTGAATTGATTTTATATTTTGTTCTCAATGAAAAAAAACCTCTCGATACGACCCTCCATTGGGTCTTCCATCAAAGAAAACATATCCTCTATTTCAACGAATTTTTCTCCCACCCGGATTTAAGTTGATTCATCTCTTTCTCAAATTTCTTCTCCAAATTATCAACTTTCTTAACTATTGTTACTTCATGTATGATTTCAGAAATCCTTGCAAAACTCTGGATGTCACAATCCTTGAATTCATGTACGTGGTTTGACACTTGAAAGATGCGCGGAACTCAGAATACTCCAATCCAAATTACTATATGCAGGTTCGGCGTAAAACAACTTCCTGTTGCAATCCTGATCGTTGTGTTCGATCAGGATGACACGAGACTCAAGTACATCGCTATGTTACCTTCCTAGCAAGCTCTGATCATGGATGTATTTTTCGAATGCAATGGAAGGAGAAAGGTGCGTCAGTTGACATCGCGATCTCATTGATGCTTCCAGCTTGTTCGATCGTACACCGCGATCCATCGTCCTCTTCTCCGTGCAAGCCCTAAGCGTGACTTTTTCGCCCAGTTGAGGAGGATGAAGATAAAGTTTCATGTCACTGTGCATCACTTCCCAATCCCCAACAATGCTTTCCGGTCACTAGTTCCATCACTATGTAACAGAATCGTTGCTCCTGAACTTTGTCTGAACATCGTGATCCAGTCCTAGGCTTCTTGTTCCATGATTTGATTCTGGTTTTTCTTCTTTCTTCTTCATGCTACTCTCAACCTCTTGCATAACCCCTCCTCCATGTCTCGGCCCAACCCCCATTAGATTCCTAGGGAGAAGTTTGTGATGGTGGATGTTTTCTTTCTCATATTCATTACATTCAATTTCTTTTCCTTTCAATCTAGAAACAAATTCTTTTCTAAACATTTGGTTAGGTTTTGTAAATTGAGTCGCCAACACGAGCTTGGATTGCATCTCAATGAGTCTCTTTATCATCTCCTCAAAAGTCTCAAATTGGTCCTCCATCGAAGAAAATATCTCTAGACAACCCTCCATTTGGTTTTCCATGGAAGAAAACTTATCCTCTATAGTGGCGAACATCTCTCCCATGTTGAATTTAAGATGACTCATCTATTCCTCTATTTTTTTTTTTCTAAATTATATACTTTCTTGGCTGCAGTTACTCCCTGTACGGTCTAAGAACTCTTTTACACTGAAATTTTGAGCTTCAGAATCTCTATACACAGTTTCGACGTACGCAGAACTCTGGATGTTGTGTGAATTCCTATACATGGTTTGGTGCTTGGAAACTGTGATCCAAATTCTTGTATGCAAGTTCGAAGCGAAACACCTTTACGACGCAATCCCGATCATAGTTTTCGATCAGTAACGTGCGAAACTTATGTACACTGCTATGCTACCTTCTTGGCAAGCTAGTGTGTGTATCATTCGGGCGCAGCAAGCGGAGAAAGGTGTGTTTGATCCCTTCGATACCAAGGATGGACGTCGCAATCTCCTCGATGCTTCTCACTAGTTCGATCGCATGTCGCAATCCCATCGTCCCCTTCCCCGAGAGCCCTAAGCGCAACTGTATAAGCCAGAAAGATGGATTTTCAGGTATCTGTGTGTCGCTTCCCAGTCGTCGAGGATGCTTTTGGATCGTCGGTTCCTTCACTCTATTAGTCAGAATCGTTGCTCCTACACGGAGCATGAACGTCGTGATCCCGTCCTTAGCTTCACGCTCCACGATCTAATTCCCATAACTTGTTTTTGATACT